ACTGAACGCGAAGAAACCTGCGCTTACCCACGTCGGTTGTCCTTTGCTCCTCGGGTATATGCAGTCCAGGTGCAGGTAAGAAGCCTGGCGAACGATCAGCTCGCCTCGAACGCTTACCGATATGTCCCCTTTAACGACGCGCCAAACGATCGCCGGTGGCCTGTCTAAACCAACGACGTCCGGCGTTAACCGTTAACCTACGGATCGCACAAGCAACAATAGAACGTAAATAAGCTACCGTTCAAGTATGGGTAACCGACGGCTCTGCAGTGCGGCAGATCGTCCACCCATACCCCGTGCTGGCAGGTAATGGTCGCCGAGCCGATCAGCTGAAATAGGCCCACATGCCTGCATCTGACGATGAACTTTGCGTTGTGCGGCACTCGTTGCTTGAAAGTCAGGCTCTCGGACGTCTTAGCGTCGAACAGTTCCATGTTTTCGAAATTTTCGGGTTTGAATAAGCAGTCCGACTGCGAAAGGCGCACCTCCGGTTGCTCTTTAAAGCAAACTGCACCGTTAAAAGAGGCACTCCTCAGAACGTCATATTCAACACGCGCCAACAACGCTAAACTCACTACCTCTTGCGAGACAGTCGCCCTAAACGTGACGAAATTTTCCTTGTAAGCTGACGATTCGGCTTCCCGCATTGAAGATGACAACTGTTATTTATGAACGATTCCAGATGACGACTTCTTTACTGGAAGCCAAAACGTCAGATTAAAAGATGAGTTCTGTGTCACGTCTGAAGCCGTTTTCGTACAAAACCAGCTGAATGACTGACGTTTGGATAACTATTTAATACCTGTTAATTTGTCATTAATGTCAAGTTTAACTTTGCTCATTAACAAAGTTCTAAATGAGACGTATGAGCAGCAGCTTGTTAGTGATTGACTCATTTCATTATTATATTATTGAAAAACTTAGATTAACGTCGTGTGAAACGTGACATAAAGTTTCCGGTTATTGCCAGATTCTTTGCTTATACTGCTTAGAATCCATGAGATATCCCGAATTCCTCCCATTTTTAAATTTGCTTAAGTTTTAGATATCGATCGCATCATGATCCCATAAAACCAACATTCACTCAAGACACCCAGGTGAGTTTCTGTCCTGTGTGCTTACTGAAGGGTTCAGCCAGCAGCAAATATCAGCTACTTCTATTAGTATGCAGTATGTCAGTACATCTACGCCATAGTTCCGAGAGAAGCGGTATATCAAGCACTAACATGTGTAGCTCAGACGGTAGCGCCGTAATTGCATGTGACATTTCGTTAGACGGTCGATTCCAAGCCTTAGCAGACCTCAGCAGCAACGTCAGAAGCAGCTGCCGAATCTTTGATCCACGAAGCTGCGAACTGACTTTCAGCCAGGCACGCAAAGCCATAGTATGGTCAAAGGAGAGCAATCTGGATTGCTCAATGGCTATCACAGTATTCACGAGTTTCGGCATTCAAGTCGTGCAGTGGTTGATTTGTTTGGTCAGCAGAATAATCCTGGAAACGATGACTACCATTTCGTGGAACTGCGCCGAACGCGAGCGAATCGGCCTTTACTTAAAGCCAAGAAGAGTATAAAAGAGGTAGCTTCATGTTATCTGATACCTTATATTTGCTGCACGCAGCGCAAACTTGTTCTTGCTGCCTCGTTAGAAAAATTGTCTCCATACCGTACAAATACACTGGCGTGGCAGAGGCAAAGTACTGACGGACTTTCGAGTGAAGAGCGACTCCTTTCCCAGACGAAACGTTGGACAGATTTCCAAAAGCAGTCGAAATTGGGGCGATGCTCCTCCTTAACTTTGACTACATGAGGTCATCGCTAGAGATGTTCCAGCCGAGATACTTAAATTGACCAACCAACCATTGTAGGGTTTCACTTCCCTTTTACAGTTGTAGATCAGTTGTTCCAGATCGGTTTCTCATAACTCTCAAATTCTAGGCTTTAAGGAAAAGGCTGACTTTTGCAACTGTATTGTATAGAGAAACCGTTAGGTTACAGAGCCAGCTTTCTGTACTACTCATCAGGACAATATCATCTGCGCACTGCAGGTCAGCGAACTATCTAGCCTGATATCTTGAACTGCGACTTCCTTTACGAACGGAACCTTCGTCTATGCCGGGACCAGTACCATTTTGGAGAGAAATGTAGAGAACAATATTGTGTAGCAAAAATGAAAACAGATTTCCCTATGGAACTACACCGTTAATGACGAACCGCTCAAATCGATCTCCGATTTTGATAGCCTACATGGTTAAAGCATACACCTCTTCCCAAAAGGAAACAATGTAATCTGGTAATCAAAGGCATTTGAATATTTCCACATTTGCAACAGCGTGGAATGGACGCACGGAACAGGAGGACTTAGCTGACAAATTGAAAACGGTTTACACAAACGGAATTGGACTGAATCGCTGAACGAATTTAAAGAATTTCGGTGTATACTAAAGCGGCTTAAGTTTAACTGCATATGATGAGGTTTATCCGCTACGTACTGCCTTGATGAAATGGCCCATCTATTGCTAGCGCAACGGGTCAAGACGGACTAACAGTTTACCAAAACGATGACATCGACTTACAGTCGTTTGCTTGAAATGTAAGGAAGAACGATGTCACTAATTAAGGATATTCTTCTGTGCTTTCGCTAACCGGATAAATTACGACTTGAAACATCCGCATTACTGTAGTTACGAACGAGATTAGTGGATTAACCGAATTAAAGATCGTAACAAACTTTGGCAATGGATCGCATCTGGTTGTGTCCATTGTCCATTCAGGCACGTGATCGTAGTCGTGTAGTTGTTCAAACCGCATCGTACCTGAGAAAAGGACGAATTTGAAAAGCCAACGAGTGACAAACTGAAGCCGATTTGACAGACCTTGAATTCGAATCCATTACGAAATGTAGACTTTGAGGAACGCGCGTGAAACTTAGATGTCAGTTGCCAAATATCAGCGTCCACTTCCGGGAATGGACATCGTCCTTGATGGTAAAAACGCCTGTCCATTTTACCGCTCCTTGGCTTGTGGCTGTGATTTCTCTTTCGAGCTAAAATAGGACAGCACGTTACTACGCGCGAAACAGTTTTGTTGACTCACCGCAAGATTTGAGCAGCGCGACCCATGAGCCGTTGATGCACTGAACAGCTTGAGCTTCCCTGGCCACTGGGTGGCTGAAAAAACGGTCGCAGGGATAGCTGATTATAGTCCCGTTGAGGTATTCGTTGGTGGATAGAAGCCTTGGGCTTCTGTCTTCGACATTTCTGAGGTCGATCGGAGGTGGGCAGCTGGTCTCGTTTGTACTCGTCTTATCGGCCTTGTCAATGGCTGCAAAAATGAACGGTCATTAGTGCCATTTTGAAGGAAAGGAGTACATTGCGCTAACACATGGTCACATACGCATGTATGTATTCTTATGAGTTCATTTGAGATAATAGAGCCATCTCCCAATTCCCACCATATGACCAGGACGTTAGAGGAGAAACTAGAAATGCTGACCCTCTTCGAAAAAGCACATCAAAATCAATCAAGGGCAAGTGGAAAATTGGACGATTCAGGTGTGCTGAGCATCTGGCACTGCTGCGATTTGAAATTCAGCCAAGAATTGTTTGATGGACGGAAACTGAAATCACTGGGAAACTCTCTGAGGCACTGTTCCTGCTCCTAAAATTACGAGCGATCTTTGAAAACGGATGAATCGCTGGATTCGAATCTTGGACGAATAAGAAAGAAGGATAGTAGCTGAAAACAAAGTTGGTAATGCTAGCTTCGACCTTCGCCGTTTACACTTGCATGAGGCCCCTTTTGACTAGTGCTGCCGGTTGACAAGGAACACATAATGCTGACCATTTACACATTTTCAAGTTAGTTTAAAATGCTAATAATTGATGATTTTGCACTTGTGCGACGACACAGTATGACTATTGCAAGGTCCGGAAGCTTACAGTACGATCTCGTGGCTAAGACAATTGTATGAACTGCGCATGACAATTGCGTTTCTTGCACAGAACGCATTTTGCAGGACACTGTACTGGCCTCGTACAGATTAAACAGTCTGATACCCTCAGGGTGCCTCTGTACGAGAGAAGGAGAAGTATTTCAGAAGCAAGAACTGAACTGTAGAGAAAATCAGTGATGCCTATCAAGTTTCTTTGTTCATGGGTCCTATGTTAATGTTTTGACTGTTGTAATCAATATGAGTTAAGTAAAACTAAGTAACTTACCTGTTGCTGGCCTCTGTATATAGTTTTGCTGTTGTTCATTTAACAATCACGCAACAGGGTAGAGGTGTAGGGGTGAAGTAGTCGTCCCCGTTAGTATGAAGGTAATGACACCACGGTTTGATTTCAGTTGCTGCACTTATTCCGCTCCTCCTTGCAACCTCTTCTTCTGTGCGTCGATTTCTTTCTGGCTGATGGTACCCTCGGGAGCCATGATGTTGTAGTGAGCACAATGCAGAAGTACAAGCGCCGAACCGAATTTGCAATCACTCGATTATCAACGATTATTGGCACTACACAGCCCCATATGTGCTGATGCAGTGGTCAAAAACCGATACCATTGAGATCGTGGAGAAAAAGTCTGGGAAGCTATGTCACGCCGAACCGAATCGAATATTTCTTCATTTACTTCGCTCTACTTCTCGGATAATATTACCTTTTATGTATGCCAATATTTTGTGTGATTTCTGCACT